TTTATGTTTTTGTATGTAGGTACGTGTTTTATTTTTCTATGTTCGGGCACTATGATAATGTTCTCTGCTTCTGATGCAAATATGATTTGTGTCCAGACACTTTGCGTTACTCACATGTGCATATGCGTACATTTAGTAGTTATGATGTCTTCTTTATTCAATTAATTCAATTGAGTATGAGCGCTTTCCCCTATGGCTATGAGCATGATGAGTATAGACATGTATGTTGGACTCAATCATCTTCTTGTCAGGCATTTATAAAGGCCATGTTTACACGAGTGCTTGGTACATCTTAATTGTGCCAGGGCAAGCGGATCTGTAATAAGGCGAAGATTCCTGACGGGAAGTTGATTTGAGTTTTAAACAAGCATGTGATTTGTATGATATCACTCAAGTATTGTATTTTATTCAAGGTAGTGAACATGCCTCATAAGAAAAAAAGGAGTCAGACAACGAAAGCTGCGGAGACAACAGAGCCTCAACCAAAACGCAGTGCACCGTCGAAAGACCAGGAATTCGTAGATACCATCTAAAACATAATACAAGCAGCCATTCCTGGTAATAGATCAGATATCCAAACGGCAGACTGACACCGCTATAACACCAAGTCCTTCAGCGCCTGAGGGAGGATCTGCCAATGTCAGCGCTGTGGAGCCTACGGTTAATCTGAGTATTTCAAACACTTTCCCGGAAGCCCCAGAAAGTATTTTAAAACCTCTAGCCTTAGGCATTCATTCTAAAATTTAATCAAAAATATGGTCGAACGAATTCGTCGAATTTGGCACCTTACTAAAGCCAAATGAAAAACAAGTAAATTTATCCATCGAAGAGGGTGATGATAGCTTAACCTTTGTTAAAGAAAAATTTAACCCTCTTAAGACTGAATCCATTCCTCATTGTATGAAAGCTTTTCATATATTCGTTAGTATTTTTGGCAAGAGGCTTACAAATGATGCCACAAAATTGATGAATTATGCGTCTATTGTTCAAAAACTTGCTTACCAGTCTACCGTTTCAGCAGTCATACAGTACGACAAAACGCTTCGTCAATGGAGAGAATATCTCAAACCAAACTCCAATGGGATCAATTAAACGCTGAATTGTATCAAGAGACATTGGTGTCCGGTTTGCAGTCAAAGTTAAAGGGAGTAGCACAAAAACCTACTTTTCGTCCTCCAAGGGGAGGGCAGGGTACAATAAACTTGTATGTTACAACTTCTATAATTCCGAACAAGGAATTTGCTCTAGAAAGATTGTAGACTCTCCAACAAATGCCAACGCTTTGGCGAAGAACACAGTAGAAAAACTTGCACATCAGCCAGAAAGCTTCCTAATACAGCAACAAAAATAAGCAAAAACCAACCTCCTAAATCGGATCATCAGAAGGTAAACAGTCAACCCTTAAGCTTACGAAATATTCATTTTGATAAAGTAACTCCCGTGAGTGCTCAACGGTTACAACATTGGCTATCAGAATACAATGAAAGTGACAAACAATTTTAGTTGATTGCTTTACAGAGGGTTTTAAAATTCCTTTTCAGGGTGTTCGTGAGCAGAGGTTATGTAACAACTTAAAATCAGCTGATCAAAATTTATCTATAAAAACTTTTAAAATAAACTTCGTTTAAATAGCATGTGATTGACCCAAATAAACATCCACCTTGTACTGAACAAAATTTCTGAATAAATTAGGGCCTTGGTCGCGAGGGTTTAACAATCTCATTTGCATGGCACAAAATATATTTAAATTTTGGAATGAATCACGGTCTATAGAAATTTCCTTATAAGGAAATTCTTTAATGTGACGAGTCGTTCTTGAGTTCCAGTAGGGGCAGTATATTTTTTGAAACATTTAGTGACACGATCACATTGGTAGTTGCAACTACACTAAACAACTTTTGTAAAATTTCAAAAGTAATCTAAATACATGGATTGATATTGCAGCCCACATAAATTTTCGTGCACAGAGATTATTAAGATGTTGAAATTAAGAATACCCTGTTGATATTCATGGTATGTCAATTCTTAATCTTTAAGGCTCACTTGGCACGCATTAGAGGTTTCGTAAGATTTCAAATAGTAGTGTCACGCTGGAAATCTAAAGCCATATAAGCCATATAAACTCAGTAACCAAAACATTTAAAAATTTAAAATTCAAAAGACGTTCTAACTGTTTTATTTCTTTATGTAAAGATAGGACTTTGTACTTTATAGAAATTAAATCAATAGTGTGTCAAAGATGTCAGAAATTTAAAACAAAGCCCTATTTATTACCGACTCCATATTAATTTTATATACGTATATGAAGACGTAGCCCCATCTTCAGGTTCTGCAAGTAAGGCATTGAGTAATGGAAAATGCTAATAAAAATGCCTCTGAATTCTCAAAGTATGTGTTTTTATCCAGGAGAAGTCTTCAAAAATCATCTTTAAAGTAAATCAAATTTGATCAACAAACATATTTTAGAATTAGGACGTATATGTATCCAGGATTTTGTAGAAATTGCTTCTATCATTTTACAATACATTATGTGTAAATACATTCCTATCATTGCATAACACAACAAATCACTTTTTTCATATAATGTTAATAACGATTGGTATTCAGATTTTAATTAAACAGTCAGTTTCTTTTAATATGCAATTTCAAACACTTTTATGAGTTTAAATTTTTATTTTTAAAAGACCTTTCTGACCTCAAAGAAGCTTGAAGCACATTGGGAGGCATAAAAGGAAATTGTTGCATAATACAATTAATATGTACTTGTAAAGCTTCATTCTTGAATTCATGTTTTGAAATTAATTAACAATTTAAGATTTGTCCTTCCTGGCTGAGGATCTGAGTACCTTAAGGTGTCATGCAAAGGGCCCACTATTTTCAATTCAACTTAAAGAAGTGCTTGGCGAAGATTCAATTACTGCCTCTTTTTGTCGACATACCGACTTTCCAATCCAACCATGTAATATATTTTATTGAGGAACATATCATTTAATTTCTATAAAATACTTGATTCTGATTGGATAAAAAAATTGTTTTGATAACTGCATCAATAAAATCAAGAGTTCGCTTGCACTAAGCAGCCAGAACTACTAAATTAAATAGTGTTACTTTAATAGATATTTTCCTGAATTTCGAAACCTGTCCGTTACGATTTTGACTGATTTCCTATTTTCGTTTCTTTTTGAATTATCCCCCTTTGCTAAACAAACCAAAATTGTCTGCATGATAACTACAGTTATGGGAAAGAATGAAGGAAATCAGCATACTTATGTTAAATGAATGTCTTTGAGATAACTGGTATGAACAATAGAACGGTGAAGAAATGTTTTCATGTCACTAAAGCTGGAAAAATGCCGTTTATGTGTTAATTCTTAGGAAACGGATAATCGAGAAAAACGACACCGCATGAATGAGGACGGAATTCTTTACAGTCGGCAACAAACTCTTCCTGATTTTACAGCATTGAAGTCAACTTTATTTAAACAGCGGGATACAAATGCCCGAAACTGCCTCTGCAGCCTTTTATATAGCAAAATCTATACAATTCAAAAGGGGATGAACAGGCTCCTGGACTGTTCCATTATTCCAGGTCACACAAGCGTTTGAATGGTATAAGCCCATTGCCTATTCATTACTCATTAAAGTATTTATATGGTCGAATTAAAATCCAGATTAAAAGAAACGAATAGGAAATCCAAAATTTCTGTGTCCTAGAAGTACATGTAGAACTATCAGGATATTTGAGTAGCTTCCCTTTACATTAACGAACTTACAGGGGGAAATATACCCATTGGTATTAAGCAAAATATAATAACACAACAGGTAAGTTCTTTGTGTTAAATAACTGTCAATTACTGTTTGAGAAGGTTGGTAATTGACACGACAATATTTGAGAACTTGTTTTTTCGTTAGGCCTAGGAAGTAGGCTAAGCCATTTTGAATACCTGAGCAACGTTAACGTTGTTGTGATATATTCATACGCGCTGTTTTTGATTCGTAAATTTAATAGTAAAGTAAATTTCAAGATCATAATTAAATGATAAGATAAGCGTAGCGCATTGATGATGTTTCCGTCCAAATTTATTCTTTGATACTTCGATCAAAGAAAAAAATATTACATTCATTTCTTAAAGAAATATTTATTTTTAACCGGTGCAATATTTTAAATTCCGTCGGATGGTATGTTAAATGGTGCCACGTATTAAGGATAGCAACCCCCTTTGCACACAGAATATTGTTTCTTTAGTCTTTGGAAATGAGTACGCTTTCTGAAGGCTGCCAGAAAATAAAAAAGAAATAAATAAAAACTTATCAAATAAACTTCTTTTCGCCTAAATAGTGTTGAAATATTGCCTAGAAGTCGTTAAATACTAGTTAATCAATCCAATTGCCAAGCTTGGTTTTACACTTGAAAGTTTGATTGAAAGCCTGATTGTTCTGCAAAAGTAACCTTCATCTATCACATCCAAGGAAATCTTGTTTGAGGGATCCATTCTTTTCTTCCGGCTTGGCATTAGACATTAATATATTAAACTTTTCTATGTACATTTGTACAGTGAAATCTGTTTAATCCGACATACACTGGGAAGCAAATTTGGTGTCGGAATAGACAGGGTGTCCGGTTGTACATTGTAGAAAAAATATGACCATTAATAGGAAATGATTTTACTTCACAATCAACAGTGTGTCGGACTACACAGATATCGTATTAGACAGTTCTCATGGTTGTACAAGTATCGGTAGTGTACTTCACACTGGGCTTAAATATACCATATATGCTTCACTAAATGGCCTTTGTCAATTCCTGAAATGTCACCCAATGGCACAGCTCAACCCTTCCTGGGCATTCCTGTTAAACTTTTCTTATAAAATCAATGACAGGGTTTCTCCCTTTACAAGCCACTAATTGAACACTTAAATCTAGATGCCAGTAGGTAAAGAATCGACAATAATTAAGTTTTATTTTTTTTTTATTTAAAAGTATAAAACAATTTGATATATAACAGTTTAACACCATTCATAAACACAAGAATTCTAAGCATTGTCATGAATATCTTTAAAGCGTGTCTTTAAAATGGTCGATTGAAAAAGTAATGCAAACAACATTTTATCATAGTCATTTTGGTATCGAATATTGACGGTTTTGCAATTTTTTGACTAAAAAAGGAAAATGTATTTCATGATGCAATGCGCTTCAGTAATGAATAAAATATTGAAAGGACGAACATAAAAAAATCAACAGCTGGGTTTTAATGGAGAACAAAAACAATAAAAAAAAGAGATCAGGTACCAGGTATTTTAAGCATTCGCTGTCAACTGGACATGACCGCAGTGTGTTCATGATAATAGTAGAGAAGATAGGAGATTTTGGGTTGAACCCATTTTTTCATCGCTATAAAAGGACTTGGGTCCAGCATGTTTACTTTTTATCAATAAAAATGTATTTAGTTTCATCGTGAACATAATTTTTCATCATAGTAAAGAACACTGATATTTTTATCATATAGCTAATCTTTGAAATTGTAATTCATGCTATCATGCTTATGACATTCTATAACGAAGAATTTTTTCCTTGCATGAACGTCCAAAGGTATGGGAAACCTTCACTTTTTTTCTACAACACAATGTTGTTTTTCAACTTGGCAGAATAAGATATCCACATTCTGTGATTGTAGGCACAAAAGTTATAAACAGTGGTATCAGGAAGAGTAGTTGTGTAGGAGAAAGTCTCGTACATCCGCTGCTTGTACCAAGTGATGCGTTTCTGGTCTCGCTCCAGCTGTTTGGTTTCTTTGTTGTAGTCCCTATCAAGCAAAAACAAGCAGGATAAATGAAGAATTGTGAAAATGGGTTACATGTTTAAAAGAAGCAACTTAAAGAAGGTAAAAACTAAAAAAATGTGCCTGTGAAACACTGATGCAACAATTTTTAAAGCTTATTACAAAGGTACAGGTTTTTCAATTGCAAGTTCAAGGTACAGGGATCAAAAAAAGTTGTTACCATCATGGAGTACTCCTATTGCTGAATACAAACATATACATGTGAAATACGAAGTCTTAGCCTCAACTTTTAATAATTTAAACTTACCAAAATGATTTGTCTTATCAAGGAAAGTCATGGTTAAAACGAAGAAAACGCAGAAATGGACTTATTTCATGAAATGCGTGAAGTTTAATATAGACGTCATAGCACCAACTGCTTAAAAGTTATGGCAACGGTTATTTTTTAAGTGTAAGTCAAAGGCAAAGAACAAATTTATAACAGTGTTGTTGGTATTCTTATACGAAATCACTGTCTGGTTTGTTTAAGTATGCCAAATATTTTAAGAATTTAGGTCGTACCTGTGGATGTGGGGACATCTGTGTACGGAATGTCGATGATCTGTCCACCCATCACGCACTGGTACTGTCCTGGATACTTCGCTTTATAATTGTGTATTCCATTTTTGTCGGCGTATCCTAAAGAGAGCCAGATAACACAACTGTTTCATAGTTTATTCATTTCAAAACTGAATATAATCTGATATATGCAGATTTTTATTAATTTAAATATGAAAAGGTTATTGTCTTTCAATCTCAGATAAAGTCTTCCAAGAACTTTAATCTCTTTTCTATTTTTATATTAAAGTTTAAAAATATGTTAAGTATAATAAAATTGTTTTTTTTCTCACTCATATGGAGACGGTAACCTCTCACCCAAGGAACTGCAGTGGTTTCAAACCTGCGACGTTATGATTATCTATTTACACCGCTACTCTAGAACAGACGCTCTTACCACTGCGCTTGAATCAAATTTTAAGTATTTAAGATCTGATAACAAACTTTAAAAAATCGCTGACCTTGTTCGTTTGTTTGACACTGTGGTTTTAATATTCCTCTATTCCATGTACAGGTGACGATGAAGTCGTCCTCTTCCTTCCTCTTTATATGGATTCCCTCTGATGACAAAGTGAAGAATTTATGTTGGCAGGTCAAAAATGTGTACCCTTTGTTGTAGGTGGCAGAAACCGTAAATTCTGAACCTATTGAAACAAAAATAGAGTTTAAAAAAAAATATATAAGACACACGTTATTCGTGTTTTTTACTGAATTCGATCAATGGAAAGATAGATACTTACGACATGGTATCATAATATAAGTTTTTTTGACATGGCTTCTATTTTTACACATGGTATGTATTTCCAACTGTTTTCCTGCATGTTTTTCCAGATGAAAAGTGAAACTGAATCGCAGAGATTTACTGGTTTCATCGTAATTCCCATTAATACACCTCACTTTTCCGTGATTCCAATGGCATTGTTCTACATGATTATGATGTCGCTTTACAGTAACTTTTATATTTTCAACGTCACAATCAAAGTCTGATTTAATGATCTTTTTTTCATTGTGGCAGAATGCCTTTGTTTGTTTGTTATTGTTGTTTACTTCTGACAACATCACTAAAAATAAACAAAATACATGATTTTTTTGGTTACAAAATCTGTCATGTAAAATCAGTCTACGTAAAAGCATGTAGGAAGTAAGATTATAAAATATAAAATTTAAAAAGAATATGCCCAAAGCTCAAGGGTATATTTACTCTGATAGACACAATATTCGGAATGGACTTACGATTTGCCTTTTTTTGATCCCCAGTGATTTAATTAATACAATCATAAAATGTGTGAAACCCTTGCTATAAAATGATTATTTGGGGAAAAGGGAGGAGATACGTGAATGTTACATGTAACGATTTTATCGTAGGAAACATCATTATGTTCCCCAAACGAAGTTGGGGAACATATTGTTTTTACTCTGTTTCTTATTAAGGTCTTCCGTCTCCAACGGAAGACCTTCTTGTTATTCTTCGGTTTCTTTTTCCCTATTATTAAGGTCTTCCGTCTCCAACGGAAGACCTTCTTGTTTTCGTTCGGTTTCTTTTTCCCTATTATTATTATTATTCTTCCAACCGATTTTGTGCAAGCGATTTCTCAGAGATGGCTCGTCCGATTTCTACCAAACTTTCAGATCTGAAAGATATTCAATTGGTCTTGATAGGTTTTTTTCGTTTTTGATTATCTCACTTCCGGTCGTGAGATATGGACGATTTTGTGATTTTTAGAGGGTCGGCTTGTCCGGGAAACTCCTCCGAAACGACTTAAGATATGGACCTGAGATTTTCAGGGAAAATAGAGAAAGGTTTGGTGAGTTGTAATTGGGTCTCCAAATCTTTCTAGCGCAAAAGGCAACAAAGTTCGGTGGGGCCAAAAAAATGTCTCAGAAATATCTCACAAAATTTGACATATTTTGTCTCATATCTTCACTCCTGTTCATAATTTGTTAAAACATATTGAAGACAAAATGTTCAATATCGCAAGACCTTTCATTTGATATAAAAAAAATAGGGCTGACCCTTCAAATTAGGGGCTAAGAGGGGCCAAAAGTCTTTTGTCTATAACTCTCTAGAGATCAATTCTTTGTTATACATTATTGATCAAAAGTATTCATCTTAACAATTAGATTATAAATATCTAAGTTGTTTGAAAATTGGTTTATCCGAATTCTAGATATTAATATTTAAAAATCTGAAGCGGGCCCAAGATGGCGGCTGTCTTTGTCAATTCCGAATTCCGCCATTTCGCAATTGGGGTTTATGGAGGCAGCTGAGCGTTTGATTAAACCATTCTGACATACGAATGCATGAAATGTAAACAATATTACTTGGACTTTCACGTAGTAGTGCGTTGCAATTCAGTGTCGATCTTAACATTTAATTTCCGTTTCACTACTTAAGTGTAACTGGGCTAGATACGATAAATGTAATGTGTACAAAGACTTTTTAAACGTCGAAATAAAATAAAGGCGATAAGAACGTTTTATTTATTTTATTTCATTGTAGCTATCACACCAATTTAATAGATAAGTTCTAAGAAAATGCACGAATATTTACTCCTGGCGTTTGGCGCAAATTATTAATAGTGACCGGCCTTTTATGATTCTTAGACAGGTGTACTGTTGCAAAAGTATACACACAAGTATATTTAGAGCAGTACTCCCAAAAGCTTAATGGTTTGCACGTTGGGGATAAAACAGAAAAAGGCGACATGGGTTCAATCCTCTTTGCGACCAAAATTTTGAATCTTTTTCTGTGATATTCATGGCATAGGTAAAGGTCCCTATTTGCTGATTTAACGTATAATCAGTTTCTTGATTTGATAAAGAAGAAATTAATTATCTTTTAATGTCTTAGAACTTTCGCAAGCGTAGGTTCAACGTTTTCTTAAACACTAAAAAATATTCATTTCATTTTCTCATAAATAGGCTGCGCCGATAATACACATGGTGCCAATGTGCAAGTAAGGTCATCCCCGTGATGGGGAATGGACCTGTAGAAAACCTTCTCTGGTTCTGCAGAGTCGAGTTTTTAACAAATAAAATGTATGAAAATGCACGAATATTTACTTGTGGCGTTTGGCGCAAATTATTGATAGTGACTCGCCTTTTATGATTATTAGACAGGTGTACTGTTGCAAAAGTATACACACAAGTACATGTATATTTAGAGCAGTACTCCCAAAAGCTTTATGGTTTGCGTGTTGGGGATAAAACAGAAAAAGGCGACATGGGTTCAATCCTCTTTGCGACCAAAATTTTGAATAACTTTTCAGCTCGATTATACGAGATTTCTTTTCCTGAATAGGACGGAAGACCTCTCGTTGCTAGCAACGAGATCGTTTCTAGTTATTATTATTATTATTATTTTTCTTACCGATTTTGTGCACGCGATTTCTCGTAAACTACTGGGCCGATTCTCATAAAACTTTCACATCTAATAGGTACTGATCTGAACCTTATTGGAAATTTTTTTCGTTGACGTCGTCACTTCCGGTCGTGAGATATGGACAATTTCCTGATTTTAAAATGCAATTTTGTCTTGATTTAGTAGCGAAAACTGCTTAAAATATGAACTGAAGATTAATTGGAGATGATAGTTCATGACTTATAGCGTTGCAGAATCGCCTTGCCGTGCGTCGTCAGTACTTCCGGTCAATACCGGAAGCGAATTTAAAAATCGCAATTTTTCAACTTTTCTTTTTTAATATTTTTGTTTTTGATATGAATAGAGACCTTTTTGCAGAAGCTAAATATCTAATTTGTTTGAAAATCGAAAAAGCCAATCTCGAGATATTTGCATTTGAAAACGCGAAGCGGCGATCTCAATGGCTAAATGGTTAGCGCGTTGGATTGTCACGCGGGCGACCCGGGTTCGATCCCCCGTGTGACCAAAACATTTTATCATTTTTTCTGCTCGATTTTTCGATATTTTTAAATTATAAACCATTTGGAATAATATGTTATAAACTTTTAAGCATATCTTGCGTAATAAGGGGTCAAAAGGGGCCAGAATGTCACATCTTTGACGCTTTATATCTCAAAAAGGGGGAATATTTTGATAAGCAATATTGAACAAAAGATGGTCAGAATAATGTTTTAAACAATATGCATACTTTGAATTTTTGTAAAACGGCCCCATTAAGGACTTGTAGGAGTGGCCCCTAAATATTTTCATTGAGCATATCTCCACAACGAAAAGAAATCTCTGAAGAAGTGTTGAACAAAAAATCTTCAAAATCACAAGACCTTTCATTTGATATCAAGAAAATGGGGCTGAACCCTCAAATTAGGGGCTCATAGGGGCAAAAAGCCTTTAATCTATAACTCTCTAACGATCAATATTTTGTTATACATTACTGAAGCAAAAGTATTTATCTTACCGATTTGCAACAATATATGATGATGTTTTAATAATATATTACGTAATAAGGGGTCACAAGGGGCCAGAATGTCACATCTTTGACGCTTTATATCTCAAAAAGGGGGAATATTTTGATAAGCAATATTGAACAAAAGATGGTCAGAATAATGTTCTAAGCAATATGCATACTTTGAATTTTTGTAAAACGGCCCCATTAAGGACTTGTAGAAGTGGCCCCTAAATATTTTCATTGAGCATATCTCCACAACGAAAAGAAATCTCTGAAGAAGTGTTGAACAAAAAATCTTCAAAATCACAAGACCCTTCATTTGATATCAAGAAAATGGGGCTGAACCCTCAAATTAGGGGCTCATAGGAACAAAAAGCCTCTTATCTATAACTCTCTAACGATCAATATTTTGTTATACATTACTGAAGCAAAAGTATTTATCTTACCGATTTGCAACAATATATGATGATGTTTTAATAATATATTACGTAATAAGGGGTCACAAGGGGCCAGAATGTACACCTTTGACGCTTTATATCTCAAAAAGGGGGAATATTTTGATAAGCAATATTGAACAAAAGATGGTCAGAATAATGTTCTAAACAATATGCATACTTTGAATTTTTGTAAAACGGCCCCATTAAGGACTTGTAGGAGTGGCCCCAAAATATTTCCATTTAACATATCTCCACAACAAAAAGAAATCTCTGAATAATTGTTGAACAAAAAATCTTCAAAATCACAAGACCTTTCATTTAATATCAAGAAAAAAGGGCTGACCCCTCAAATTAGGGGCTCAGAGGGGTCAATATTCTTTTATCTATAACTCTCTAATGATCAATATTTTGTTATACATTACTGGGGCAAAAGTATTCATCTTAACGATTTGCAACAATATATGATAATATTTTTATCATATGTTACGTAATTAGGGGTCGCAAGGGACCAAAATGCTGTATTTTTTATGCTTTATATCTCGAAAAGGGGGAGTATTTTCATAAGCCTTATCAAACAAAAGATGTTCAGAATATCGTGATAAAAATGAGAAACTTTAACTAGGGAAAACTCAATGTCATTCTCTTTAAACAGAAATCTCAGTCAAAATCACATCTCATCTTATCTAGAAATTCAACGGAAGACCTACTCGTTGCTCGCAACGAGATCTCATCTAGTTATTATTATTATTTTTCTTCTTCTTCTTCTTCTTCTTCTTCTTCTTCTTCCTGGAACTTTTTTGTCCGGGAATGATCTTGTAAACTGTTCGTCCGATGTAGGTAAAACCTTTTTAGGGTTAGTAGACATGTTATGTAGATTTGCGGAATCAAGGTCATTTTGCGCGCACGTGCTTGCAAGAGCGTGCACGTGCAACACGTGAAATGACCAATATAATAGATATAGCCACAACTGTTCTATTTTTAGATGAAATGCTTTGAAACTCATAATGTGAGGATATATTAGTAGTATAGACATGACGACATGGTGAAAATAGCAAGATCTCACGCGCATGCACGTGCACTTCGCTCTGATTGGCTGCAACTAAAGTCTCAATATCTTTCTTGTTTTTTGACGAAATCCTTTGAAATTTTGAACATAGCCATGCATTAGAATATCCTACAACTTGAAGTAAAGCAATTATCATGAAAACACGTGCATGCACATGCGCTGCAATCTGATTGGCTAAAACTTTAAACAGCTATAACTCCCTTGGTTTTCAACCAAACAGGATGCGATTTGGAACATAGATAGATATAATGGACTTCTACAAGTAGGTATGGTCACCATGCACATGCATGCACGTGCGTGTACATGTGCTGCAATTTGATTGGCTGAAATTTTAAACAGCTATAACTCCCTTAGTTTTCACCCAAACGGGGTGGAATTTAGAACATAGATAGATGTAATGGACTTCTACAAGAAGGTATGGTCATCATGCTCATGTATGCACGTGCGTGCACGTGAAATGAGTAAAATCAAACATACACTTAAATGAGCGTATTCTTTTTTAAATAATTTTGGATTAAATACTTTAATATTCAGTGTATTGAAAATATAGATTGTGTAGACAAGATAATATGGTCATGACGCAAATGCATTCACATGTGCACATGTGCAATGCTAAAGTTTAAATGATTTTTGTACACTTCTTTGTAAATTTGTTAAAATCTCAGATGCACAGAGTTTGTCTTATTTAATGAAGCTTACAGGGAATATGGCACCAAAAGGGAGTTGGGGAGCGTTTGGGGAACATCTGTAACGGTCCCCGTTACAATTAGCACTAGTTGTTGATGTGTGTTGAGTAGTTTGGCTCAGTTAAAAAAGTAATCGGTGTATGTTTGTTTTATTTATTAAAGTGTCAACTTCAAGTTCATTTTACCCAAAACAACCTATTGATACATAAGGTAAGGTGCAAATATAACCTATATACATTTTATATAATATATGCAGTCTTGTCAGAGGTACATACAGCTCAACAAACTTTTTAAGCTCACATGGTTTTTTGCACAAATTAAGGTCACATTTTTGAAATAAAATTACTATTTTCGAACCTCAGAACGATGACATAGCCCTACGTTATATTACATATATAATGTCAAGTATAAATGACCTTTAAACGTATTGTCTTAAGTTTCCAAAGTGGATGTTTTAGAGTGGAATTTATCAATAAATGGTACGATGTTTCTACTATAGGCCTCTACCATAGGTTTTTTACAAATAATATAAAACGTGCTTTCTTTGATACAATGTAGTTGAAAATTTTAAATTTTCTTCTTAAAGGTGAAAATTTTTTAAAATTCTTTGCTCATTTACCATACTCATCTGGGTTTTGTCGAAATGTAGTACCGAAAAGGAATAACATTACAGAGAGAAACCCATACTACAGGGTAGGATACTGAAGTATTGTTTATTTTTTTGAATAGTAAATTTTTTCTATGAAAAGGAAAATTCTTCTGCATTTACGGTTTTAAATGTCAAAAATTTGCTATGGGGTGAATCTTTCATGATTCTAGATTTTCAGAAGGTGACTCTGAAAAATGCCACCTTATTAACATACAAAGCAGTCAATCAGATGAAAAACACTATTATCACCCTGTGTTAAGGAGTCAGAATGTACAGAAAATACAGGTTACAGTAGCTGTATTGTGCCCGTGTCTATGTTTCTGCAAAGAGCTACTGCTTTCAAAAGAACGGATAGAATGACAGCTGCAATTGGCAAGACACTACAAACAATCACATGGAAATAATTGTTATTTATCAGCCAAGAATATATTAAAGTTCTAGTAATTGATTTGTATGAATTATGTTTTAGTAAATGAAATAAAACTCAAATAATGTAAACAAATACTCTTAAAATGTATTTTGATGTCTCAACACACAATATTACATTATAATAACATGACCTTAATTTGTGCGAAAAACCAAAAAAAAGTTTGTTGAGCTGTATACTATATAGTTAACATGACAGGAAATTAAAGACGTACACCACACTGGGGGAGACAACTCTTGCGATTTCAATTGACGTGACATTAAATTTAACGTAGGTAATATCGCGTCATAATGCGTCATAATGACGAATACTATACGATCCCGATGTATCAATCATAAAACAAAAATGGGATATGGGGCTTGATTGTGATTATGACTACCATACTCAATCCATGATTATTTCTTTTCTTAAATCGATTAAACTCCGTTATAAGAGAGACACAAAAGATCATCCCTTGATATTTATTTCATTTCATACACAGTGAATTGAAATCTTGATCAAAGCGCAGCAATTTTTTTCTGAAAATTTTATTTAAGCCTACATTGCCTAAATTCTCGGGGTATTCAAAAATTGTCTAAACATCTACATCTTAATACGCTTTACATATGAAAACACTGATATATGTAAGTTAAGACCGCAGAACATTAACTGGCCATCTGTCACAATCAAAACATTCAAAGTTAGACAATGAATAAATCGGAATTGTTTGTCTAACGTTTTAAAGAAATATATGAAGGGACAAATATTTGATTTCTGTTTGGTATAATTTGTGCATGTACGTGTTACTTGTGCGTTGAGGGGGGGGGTAATTATCTTGGAAATAAATAAGAAAGTTGTCAACATTTTTCATTAAAGACAAAAGTAAAAAAGCTCTTGTCATCCTAAAAATTATTTGGTACAATGCATGATCTGACTCGACAAATATTGACCCCCCCCCCTTCTAGAATCATATGACCGTCTCCTGAAAAAATTGTCTTCTATTACTACTACAAGTGTCTATAAGAATATATTATAGGTTATAAAGTCATAATTGTATAAATTTCAACCAACATGTATTTGGAAATTGAAATCATTTGCATTCATACTTTCCTCTTAAAAACAACGCAGGTGGATTGAAAATAAATTTTAAACTACATTTTCAATCCAATGTTTTCCCTGCGTCTGCGTCGAATTGTACCTGCCCATTTCATCGTCTACCATTGAATGTTTTGATTGTAACCGATAGAAATGACGTAAGCTGTATATTTCCAGTCTTGCCAGTTAATGTTCCGCAGTCTTAATATATTCTTAAAGCAAAAACTATATTCCAATTTGACTTTTTTAATTATGTTTTTTGTAGATTCATGGCACAGTAATCGACTAAACTCTGAAAGACGCGCTGGAACATGATTTAGGGAGAAAGAGGGACGAGGTAATTTTCCGCTTTTAAATCAAAACTGGTCGTACAAAAATAATACAAAAAAAATTTTTACTACCAGCTACCGAAAGAAAGTTTTTTACCAAAATAAAACGACAGGTTTTTTTCACACAAAAAATGAAATTGAAAAATTCACAATTTTCAAGGATTAGACAATTCATAATTTATCAGATTAATGTCTTTAAAAAAAATTAGGACATGCATATCAAAAAGATGACTGTATTTTTGTGTTAAATGGTTAATAGAATAAGTAAATAAAATTGGATAGTTATAGCTAACGTGTTTTTTTTTTTTTTTTTTGAAAATCAAGGTTTAATTAGTTTGTTGATTAAAAATGTTCTCTCCTCGTTAACAACAAAGGGGGGTAAATTTTGGAATTTCCTGTCCAAAAACCACTCCAACGACTTTGTCTAAAATGTGCATACACACAGTAGATATAGCCATATATTAAATATATAAAAATAGCGAAAATTAAACGAGAGGAATATTTTGGGGTGGGTGTGTTGTAAATCCCTAAGGGAAAAAATAAGACTGGGGAAAACAGACATGTTGAATGTTTCGAGAAAGAGAAACCCAATATAATTGAAATTCCTTGACGATTATCGACAGTTGACAAATTATAACTCGGAAAACATGAACATCGAATTATTTGACCTTGGACTAGAATGTAAGTAAAATATTATTCTTTTTAAACCTAAAGGGATTCACGATATGATATTTTTTATCATCAAAAAGAAATAGAGAGATCCTTTTGATAAACATACTGACATCATCAAGAGAGAGAGAGAGAGAGAGATTCTTCCGATAACTTTACCAAGCAAATATTACATTAATGCACGAGTCTAGATCTAAAAAAAAAAATGTTTGCTTTCATTAATGACCGCATAATGTTTGACAGACATCTTTGTAATTTTTATCAAATGAAAGTTAAAACTTCAGAGCTTTTTTTCCTTAACTAAAGTATACATGAACTATAATTCTTCATACCAGGTATAAAATTCCAAATATATAACACTATAATCCAAAGTGGTGATTGCATGTCTTCTCACAATGTTAAATACAATTAATTAATCGTTAAAGAACAGTTCTGTTATAAGTTTACTGTATATGTGTTTCCAAGTTTGTAAAGAGTTCTGTTTTAAATATCTTCACTGAAATTGGGCACGGTGTAATAAATGGATTGGAAAATTTGGAGTGGAGTTATGGAGTGGAGTTTGGAGTGGAGTCTGGAGTCAAATTTTGGAGTCTATGAGAATTTTTAAATATGAAAGGAAAAAAGAAATTATTCAGTATAAAAGGATTTTTTAGCATACATCTTTTCTGTTTATGTTCTTGTCTTTTTACTAAATGGGTTGGCAATTCATACTATGACCCAATTAATTTTTTTTAAGTTTCTGACAATGATGTATATATTAAGAACTTGCGAACATTACATCAGTCGTGAATAGACCAAAGTGATGCTGACAAGACAATCCCCTGCTGTTTCAAAATGTTTGAAAACTGTTCAGCATAATTGATAAAATAGATATCATTGGTCTTACTGGTTTTTAAATAAAGTACTAGTGTTATTGGATGTGTTAACAAATCTGAAAAGGGTAATTAGGTTCAGAGTTTATAGCAATTTGATAAGAGAACATGGTAGTTTCGAAATAAGTTACGCACATGATACCACTATTATTTACATTTACATGATTACATAAAGGTGCAATTACACCCTTACCTCTCCTTGCATTAAAAGTGACATAGCTAGCCTTAGGTTGTCAATACCTCACCCCCAGAAACAATAAATGTATACTAGTCATATCAGATTTCCAATGAAACCAAGTTGGTGATTGATTTTCAGCATTTTTTCCCCTTATAAATAATTGACAGTTTCATAATTGACATTTTCAGTGATTAAGCTCTGTAAGAGAACATTGGTTCAAAGAGAAAACACCGCCTAGCTTCAGTTATGCTGATTAAATTGTGAAGGATGAGCTTTAAGTTTTGCATGTGAGCTAACTTTGTTCTCTACAGAACAGCTCGCATTTATTAACATCATCGCATTCTTTAGGAGTTTATATATAAATATTACATCCCTTAACTGACATCAAAGTCCTTTTCTTTCCATTACCTTTTAAACTGAAAACACGAGAAGTCATCAGTGTACTGTATGCATTATACAGTATCATAATATTACTTAATTTTACGTTCAGGTACGAGAATTGATATTCTTATTCTAAAAGTCGCATATTAAGAAACTAATTTGATGGATGCAAATCAAATATAAAGAAATAAATCTTTGAAAAATATTTTCGTATATGAATTACATAGGACTACATATACACCATGGAAGCTAACTATGTGAACTCATTTAAGGAATGACTCTAATTCTTGGCCATATTATCGAGTATAATCTGGTTTGGGTCAGTTTACGCTTTATAATCCGCGAAGCGGATTATAAAAAAGCGTAAACTGACCCAAACCAGATTATACTCGATAATATGGCCAAGAATTAGAGTCATTCCTTATAATTTAATTTTAAAATAATTAAACAACTTTTGATGTAAAATAGTGTTGCTTTTTATAAGTTCAAATTTACCGCGCAATAATACAACCGTAGTAACGGAAGCGATTTGAAGCGAGGGGAGGTAATAACTGATACATAGATCTAGCAGCCATGATGCTTGTTTACATGAGGTAAGATCGAGTAATTGTTTATAGTTGAAGGTACATTTATTAAATCTGGAATTTTCCATGGATTCCGAGGACTGGAAATGAGGGGATTGCATGGATATGATGATTTAGCTGGTTGTCAAGGGGGTGTGTCCCCATACCAAACCAGATTATACAAAATGTTATGCGTTCCTTTTTGGAAATCAACCAATGAGAGGCGAGAATACAAGCAAAATTAAATTATTTTTCAATAACAACATTGTAAAAAATCGACTTACATTGTTCAGCTTGTTTAGATGGTGTGGTCAGAAACCTATTGCAGTTTTAACAAACATAACAAAGAAGTGACAGTATGAGAAAATTTAGTTCACAATGTTTTATCACCTTCTAATTATGTGTTGAAAGCAATGGTTGATTTCATTTATGTAACAGTTAAATTTGATAAAAACATAGAATTAAATGTCACTGATATAGGTAACACACCTGTTGACAATATTTATAGGTTATTTTATATTCAATGTAAATTACCCGGTACCATCACTTAAAATTTTCACAATTATAGTACACATACTACATGTATATAATAGTGATATAATGTGTCTAACTTAATTTTAGAATTAATTACTAGTATCTTTTATCTATTTTACATGGTATTGAATAAGTGAGTATGATATTTAATAAGAAGCTCATGGGCCATATCGCTCATCTTAGCACTTGACTAGAATAAGAGCATAAATCAGATCAGTATTAAATTTAAGGGAAAGGCTGTGATTTTAAGCCACTGAGGATGTTTCCGTAACAATGACAATGTTCTTTAACAGAAATTTTTATTGAAGATTTTTTCCTGCATATTCTTTTGTACAAATTCCATATTCCATATCAATACGACTAAAATGGCTGTCATGAGTTCTTTTTCGATTTTGCAAGGTTGAGAAGGAAAACAATATCAATCAGAAATAACAAAAAAGTTTATTAACACAAATAAAAAAAACAAATTATATTCAATAACCTCACTCACTCTCACATACCAGCTCACACACCGGAAATGAAATAGATATAACTTGTTATCTAAGTTTAAACCAAATCTGATACTTTACATAATAATTTTTAATATTATAAGCAACAAAGTTGATTCAATTAGTATCAGATATGAAATCAAATAATAATTCACTGAATATTGTCTTCTAAATGAATAATTGGAAAAAGCTCAATTGAATTTCAATTAGGATAAAATATGAATTCAAAAGAAAACGCGTTCTTCTATATAGCACTGAAAGTTACTCAAAGTTCACAAAATTCACAAATTGAAGTCACCGACACGTGTCCTAGAAAATCCACCACTGCGCTCTTGCCATACAAGTAGGTCTACGTCACACCAAGTTCCGTTGTCCACAAATAGTAGTTTCTCAACCACGGAGCCCCGGGTCTAAGCCTCCCGCTCCGGTTATCTTACCACGCCCTTTACCATTGTCGACATTAGATATGACGCACGTGGCCCTCCCTATAACGTCAATAAGCCTCAAACCTCGTCAACCGACCCTCAGTATGCCCATAGATCACTAACTCGTCTCGAAGCCCCTTACGCACTGAAATTAATTTATATTTACAAAAATCTAACCTATAATACACACAATGAAACCGGAAACTTATAACAGCAAACCAACGTATATATTATCCGAACACTCTTACCGGCTAGAACTGCACAAACACGCTGCAATAATCCTCCTGACTAGTTATATGGTTAACCGTTTAATATTCGGTGCTATATCTCACCGAAAATATTCACCACTTGTATAAGTCTTGCCGGGGAAACTGCACACGTGGCACACCTCCGGCTAGTCACGCTACCGGTAACTAGACTAGCTCTCACCAAACTTACAAAACCGGTCCCTTTATATACTAGTGACCAAACAGTCTCAAAAGTATGGAAACCCGTTAGAATAAAAATTAAAGTAATATATACAGAAAATTATCAACCTCTTTACAATGGCTTTTCCGTTTTTGAAAAGATTTTACCTTAATATTTCTATCATCTTATGTAAAACTTTGATCGTCCATTGTGACCTCACCCTACCCCTAGAGGTCATGGTTTGAACAAACTTTAATCTATACACTATCCGAGGATGATTCCACATGAGGTTCATCTTTCCTGGCCAAATGGTTCTTGGAAAGAAGATTTATAAAAGTTTCCATTATTTTTTTTAAATATTTGTTATTGTCTCCCATTTGAAGAGGGTGCGGCCCTTTATTTGAACAAACTTTAATCCCCTTTACCCAAGTACATACTGTTTGGCAAGTTTGGCTGAATTGGCCCAGTGGTTCTTGAGAAAAGTCAAAAATAAACAAAAAGTTTAGAGACAGACGGACAGCTAAACACATAGAAGCCTGACAAAATATGATCAGAAAAGCTCACTTGAGCCTTGGGCTCAGGTGAGCTAAAAAATACAATCATAAATTGTTACAAACTTTGAACCTAAAAGCTCTTTACAGGTTTGTTAACAACCAATAACACCGTATTTTAACGACTAGTTAAAAACCGAGTATAGCTATTGATAAATTATATTCAACGGTTCCCAAACATTATGAAAGAACAAAGATTATTAGGTATATAAATAGCCAATCTATTTAGTAACAAGACATGATGCGGCCAAGAAGTATGCCAAAGAAATTATACTTTTTTTCTTTTATGTTTAATTAAAAAAAATTAGACTCAAACATTTTACTCCAGACTCCACTCCAAACTCCACTTCATAACTCCAATCCAAGACTCCAGTCAATGAATTACACGTTGCCACTGTAAATGTTGGTTTTTTAGTGCCTATTTATAGGAGCTTAAAAATAACGACCAGTCAGACAAATCGCATCATCTTGGGTCTTTCCGTCAGATATCGGAAAAACAACCTCGAATGTATATGGTAGACGCCATGACAACCCTCCTTTTTCACGATCTTTGAAATAAATGAATGGAGACCTTTTATCTGTGGAATATGAAGTTCAACTTTATTCAGTGTAATGATATTACCTAAAATATACTATAGAAGAGACTTCTAACTCCCCCTATCCTACATTTGACTAAACAGGAAATGTATAATTTTTTAACATCCGGCGATGTTAATACATTCGAGGTCGTTTTTCCGCTAGCCGGAAAGGCCCGAGAAGTTGCGATTGCAGTCAGCAATGGATTACAATGTATTAGAATGTAAAGTTATTTTTCATTTCTATCCCGTACACATACATTTACAAAATGTAGTTTATTTAGACTGGTATGGTTATTTAGTCAATGCACTTCAGGGCCATTCTTATAACATAATCAATCATCTAAATCTGGCAGCGGTGTATGACCTCAATAAAAACACTAGATTGAACTGAATTATATTTAAATATAAAAATGTGGCGAAGTTTTAGTCTAAATAGAAAAAAAAATTCACGAAAAGTGCCACATGCTGT